CCAGTTTAGAGACAAGGATGTTGTGCAGGACAGTGCCAAATGTTTTGCACAATCCAGGTAGATGCTTTCAGTCACTCTTCTGTTATTCACCAGTGCTGTAAAACCCCATTGTAGAAGGCCATCAAATTTGTCGGGCGTGATTTGCCCTTAGTGACAGATGTGATGGAGCCAAACCTCTGTTTAGGAGAATAATTCAGATTTGTGTATTTTGTGGCTGTTCTCTGGTTAAAAGATATCACAAATTTTATGTTGTGGGCAATTTACCAATGACCCTGACTTTTGACAAGGGTTATAATTCTGTAACCATAACTGTGAACATTGCAGTTAGAAAATACACACACACAAATATTTCTTAGTTATACCGTAAATGTTGGATAAGTCAGAATGAGGTATGAGCAAGTTAATATCAACACATGCTTGAATTTATCTTAGTATTTGAATCTGACCTTTTTCAAAAGAGCGAAAGCTGAATCTTCATCCCATTATATCTTGGAATGTGGTTTTTATTCTTTTTGTTGGTTGAAATTGTGGAAAAACAGATGAAAACCTTACAGCTAAACAAGTCTTTGGTAAAACTTTTATCTTTCATCACTGGAAAAACAAGGAAACTTTCAGGTATTTTCCTGAATTTGTGGAGGTTTTACTGGTACTGTTCCCAAATATCGAAAGTGTAGGTTGTTCCTCAGAAGGAGCCAGAGATTGAGTGGTGGTTTGATTTATTAATCAAGCTGTGCAGTTGAATCAGGCAGTACAGTAACTCACAGCAGAGACACCATACTGTGTATCCTGATTTGTTCTGGAACTTCTTGTATAGATCTTTATACAGGATTAATCCTAATAGCATTAGTGTGGTAAGACATATTGCTAAGTAGACTTAGACTAATAACAAAGACTTAAAACAAACAAACAAAAAAATCCTTTGGACATCACTATTAAATAGCTGACATGACATCAACCTCTTTAAACAATTCCCAGCTTTTTTGCAGACATCTTGGACAAAAGGAAAACTGAGCAACGGATTACCAGGGACCATGCTAGCACTGTTAGCCTTTTGAATTAAAGGCTGTTGCTGTCCAGAACGTTGTAACGAAGCATGATATAACCTTAAACTTATAGTTAAAAACCAGATCTGATAATTTAATCACTTGTATTTCAGCCTTCTATTTCAGTCAAAAGTATCCAATGGTACAATGCATCTTAGATAGTTTTCAGGTAATGTAATATCTTTAATACTAGTGTTTTTAATGATGCTGAAGACATACTGTCAATACGCTTAAAACAAATGTGAATGCTGAAGATAGGATTTAACACTAGTCTTTTTAATGTGTTTGAGACAAGAATTTCCGTAAATTAGAAGGGATGTATCTAAACCCATGTCTTTCTGGTTTGATATACTGTGTGGGTGGTTTCATAAATCAGATGCAGTTAAAGTGACAGCCCATAGTAGAATGATCTGCTAATTTAATTTTGCTAAATGATTCTTTTTTTAAATCATCATAATACATTGTGATAAATAGTTAATATGATCAGTTTGAAGGCCAATTTAAATTTCAGCAGATATTTTCACTTGTCACATGTTGTTTACTTTCATAGTCAAGTGCAAATACTTTTCATTGATATAATCAGTTTAAATAGTAATTTCAAGCATAATAAAGCACTGCTTCTTCAAGGCTAAGGATACCTTTTTTTACTTAAAGTTTGGAGCTACTGCTTCCGAAGTAAGTAATGATCTTAGATACATTGGGTCTTAAGTGGTTTGCACTGATTGTTGAAATACCTGTGAACTTCTGAATACTGTGGAAGAAACCATATCTTTTGCAAATGATCGGAAGTAAAAACTGGTGTATGATAGGGACAAGGTATATGTTCCTATGCTGCAGAATAGAGAGAAGGTTTGACTTGAGAGTCTGGGTTTGCACAGACGTGCTCTTTGCTGCTGTTGCTAATGGTGTACCCTGGGACTGTGGCTGTGACACCTACCTCACAGTCTTGTCCACACATTTCACAAGGGGACTAGGACAAAAAACCTGTTTGACCTGACTCCCACTCTGTGCTTTCCATATTAGAAAGGATGAGTACAGGTGATTGCTGTGGTCATAGCACCAGCATCATGGTATGTAACCATGGTGAAAAGTAGGACTATGAAAGTTTATGAGAATGCTTTTGGCATTCAACATGTGCATAACATAAATTTTGAGCTGCATGTGTGGCAATTGAGGTTTTTTTTTGTTTGTTTGTTTGGTTTTTTTTTTTTGGTTTGTTTTTTAGGGGCAGGTATTCTGTCATCTACATGCATATCTCAGGGCTACTGTCTGAAGACTGCTGTTCATTAAAGGTGTGCATTATGCACTGTTCACTGCTACAGTCTTCCTTGGTTGTCAGCAAGCCCTAACTGTGAGGTGGCTTGTTGCCTTTCCCATCTGTCCATTACTGCTTTCCAAACAGGGCTTATGACCCTCCTTGCCAGTCTGGCGTTTGTTTTTCTCCTCTATACAGAAGAAGGGAGGGTGAAATAGAAGAAGTGAAATTAAAAAGTCCTTCTGGAAGTATCTTCCTTGTCCCAAGGAACCTGTGCTGATAGCACCTTTTTCATGCAAGAGCTGGTTCCAGTTGATGTCCTCTAAGCAAAGCCTCAGTCTGTTTCCCTGTGTGTTGCTGGAGCTGTGGCTAAGCCATTTGGCTGGTTGGCATCATCTGGCTGTGAGAGGGGTGGTGATGGGGGAGCCCCCAGTTTGAAAATGAAGGAAGATGGGCAGCAGTGTATGCAGCACTCCTGGTGGTTTCTCTGGCTGAAGCTACAGCTTAGGTGGGACTTGGGAAGACTTGGCTGTAACTACAAAAGAATAGGCTGGAGGGTGTCATGCCTGCAAATTCTGTTTTCTAATTTTCAGTGATAGGAGCTACATGAGACAAGTGGCTAACATAATGGGTGGGAATGCATTTCACTGTAAGCTTTTATACTTACAGTGGCATTATTCATCCATCTGCCAGTATCCAACCTGGGATGGTTCTTACTTTTCTTCCAGGAAAAACTTCCTTCTATCGAAGTGTTGCATCTTTGCTCTTTCTGTGCAGTTATTAATCCTTGGGAACCTGAAATGCCCAGGCTGTCCTGTATTTCTCATCTGTTTTCCTCTGTGTATAGTGACACTATAAATGAGGGGATGTTCCACAGCCTCTTAATGAATTACTCTGCTCCATTGTGCTATGGTGTAGAAAGCTGGCAATGCAAGATATCCTCTGAGAGGGTGGATTGGGTCAATAGCAGAGTGTGGCCTGTATGAAATCCAGGCAGCATTTCTTATAATGTACTGCTTTCGCATTTCTAAGCAGGAAACATTCAGCTTTTGGCTAAAACCTGAAATCCTTCGTAATTTTTCATGGGTGTTTTAAATATAAAATGATAAAAATAAACTACTTTTTACTGGAACCATGCATTTCATGGAAATAAAACTTGTAAATGGCAAATAAAACTTTCTAACAAAATACAATTTTGAATGAAAATATGTATAATCTATACAAGGCACAGAAAATTTATGAAAGATCACATTAGAGAGAGCCTAGAGTCTGAACATGGAAATGTTTCGGACTGCATATCACCCTTCAAATGCGTACTTACTGCTTACTCCCTCTGTAAAGATTAAGCTGCAGATGTTGTTGTGTCGAAAATGCTATGCCTGTGGTCTTGTAACTCTGAAATATGAGAGGCTGGGGTACCTGGCAGACATGGGAAGCTTTGAGTGGTAACAGAAGGCGTAAGTGCCTCACATGGTTGTAAGGTGAGTATTTTTGTTTGAGGCTGAAGATGCTGGAAAGTAGTAAGCATCGCTTTCCTCAGAGTGTTGCTGGCTCACAATAATATTCCTGTTCTGGAAGAAGCTGTTTAATTTTGTCATTTCCTTCTTTATGTGGTCTTTCTTATAATGGAACTTTCTGTTTGGATGCAAAGTTGCAGGATCATAGAATCACAGATTCATAGAATGGTTTGTGTTGGAAAGGATCTTAAAATCATCAAGTTCCAACCCCCTTGCCATGGTCAGGGACTCATCACACTAGACCAGGTTGCTCAAGGCCCTGTCCTGTCTGGCCTTGGACACTGCCAGGGATGGAGCATTCACAGCTTCCTTGGGCAACCCATTCCAGTGCCTCACCACCCTCACAGTAAAGAACTTCTTCCCTGTATCTAACCTGAACTTCCCCTGTTTGAGTTTGAACCCATTACCCCTTGTCCTGTCACTAGAGTTCCTGATGAAGAGTCCCTCTCCAGTGTCCTTATAAGCCTTCTTCAGATATTGGAAGGATAAATCTATGAAAATGAATGAATTATGGTTCTGTGAATGAGTAGGATTTGACTATTAAAGCTGTCTGTAAAATGCCAAAGCCAATAGTAGGAACATAATGTAAAGGTGTAAAATGTCAAATGAAAAAGTGATGTCTGATAGATTGCGGTTCTGAGACACTACAACCTTTGGTACTGGATATTATAGCACAGTATTGACACATTTACTGTCAAATCACTTGCCTTCCTGTACGTGGAATGTACCTGCCTTGATCCTCCTCGATTCTGCACTAATGGATTTAAGACATCATGGTACTCCAGCTGTACTCACTGATGTAACTTCAGTTTCTGTACACCACTTCTATTTTAAGGTCATTTAGTTTTGTCTTTTTTCAGCACATGACTATACCAAAACAATGCAGTTAAACATAGATTTGTTCACTCTATTGAAAACAAATTTCAGCTGGTCGGTCTCTGCAGTCAGTGGGCAGGATAAATGGGTGGGATTTAGATGCATTACAGGAACCTGTTCATGTTGTTTCTGTAAGGCATGGCTGATAGTAGTTCTAGAGTAAATATTTCTAACACAAATCCAGTAAATTATGAAACAGTTCTGT